TCATGTCATCTGGACTTCGTTTTTTTGTTAAAAAGAAACGTTTCGCCTTGAAACACAAGAGTCAGGGTGGCTTCTGGGTAATACCAGATGGCTAGGCCTCAGACTGACGAAGCCTCTTGGATGAGGGGCGAAACGTTTCTTTTTAACAAAAAAACGAAGTCCAGATGACATGATTCAACCTTTTTTGTTGTTATATACCTGGATGACTGAGAAAACAAACTTTGCGTATCGTCTTTAGTTTGTTTTCTGTACACACAATGGTCATCTGGGTTCCTTTCAAAGTTGTTTTGTTCAAGATGATCGTTTAAGAGCTTGTACCAGTTTCTTCCTGATTGTTTTAATCCATACAAGGATTTTTTAAATCTATACACACATTTTTTTCCGTTTCTGTTTGTTCTTCAAACCCCTCGGGCTGTTCCATGTAAATTTCTTCCTCAATTGGGGCATGCAGATAAGCTGTTTTGACATCCATTGGATGCACTTTAAGGTTGTTCTGGACTGCTATCTTCATCAGAGCTCGCACAGATGTTATGTTCGCTGTTGGAGCAAAAGTTTCATGGTAGTCTATGCCTTCTGTTTGACTGTAGCCCTTTGCAACATATCTAGCTTTGAAAATCTCTTTTCCTTAACTTTCTTTGAGTGTATATACCCATTTCCCTCCAACTGTGTTCCTACCCTCTGATAAAACAGTTCAAATGTTTTGTTTTCTTTAAGCGAGTCAATTTCGTCTCTCATTGCTTGTCTCCAACTGTCTGCCTGCGGTGATTTGTGAGCCTCGCTGAATGTTTAAGGGATTCCACAGACAGCCCTGTAACAATGATCAACGGTTATTTTTGTTACATCGTTTGTTTTAGGCTCTAGTAGGCAATCTTCAAGGTATTTTGGGGGTCTTTTCTGTCTTTTAGTATAACGATCGTTTCACGTTGGTTGAGTTTGATCATCATCAATTTCACTCCCAGTGGTACAATCTGAAGACTCAGTATTCTGAGTTCCATCAAGAGTCACTTCCTCCTTGTCACATGAGGTGGCATTTTGAGTAACATCCTGGGTTAAGGGTGTCACATCTTGTCTTTCAGCTGTCTGCATGGGGTTTCTGTGACCCAGGATCCCTAAATCCCAAACATCTGTCTGTGTCTGTTGGTCAGCACCATTTCCTTTGATAAACTTTACCACCCTATGTTTGGACACTTTTCTCGCCTGTGGGTGGTACACCAAATAAGCTGGGCTGTTCTTGCTATACCCTACAAACAATCCCTTTTCCCCTCTTGAGTCTAGTTTCTTGTGGTTGTTGTTGTATGAGTAACACTCTGACCCAAAAACCCACATGTTTGAAAGATTGGGCCTTCTTCCTGTCATTAAGGAATATGGGGTGTTTTTTGATTTTGTTACTGTAACATCTGTTGCGAATGTGGGCAGCACATTGAACAGCAAGGCCAGGTAAACTTTTTCTGATATCATACACCTTCCCATTTCAAAGAGTGTTATTCACTGTCTCTCTGCTTTTCCATTTTGATGTGGGGAGTATGGTGATGATGTTTCATGCCTAATGCCTTTTTCTCAGAGCAAAGTTTGAAAATCATTACATGTGTACTCAGTACCGTTGTCTGATCTAAAGCACTTAACGTTACCATAGGTTGCACAGTCTGCCAGAAACTGCTTTGTTGCTGTAGTTACGTCACTCTTGTTTTTCAGAAAATAGACCACAACTGATCCTGAAAAATCATCAGTAAAGGAAATTGCATACCTGTGTCCCTCTAAGCCTGTAGGATCAATTGAGCCTGATAGGTCAGTATGGACTAACTGTAGTAATTCACTCGTTTTGACATCTGACTCTTTGTTTCTGCTATTGATGAATCTCCCTTATATGCAGATGTTTCATTCCATTTTACTGTTGTCAGTGATTTTCATTCCCTCTACCACATTTTGTAATTTCACAACATCATCTATGTTACAGTGTCCTAATATTTCATGCCATGTTTTGAGATCACAAGCTAGCTTTACTTTATCACTGATCATCATGTCATTTAAGTTTTCCTAAATGCATCTTTCATTGTTGTTTTTCATTCTCAGGTAATACAGTTTCTCATGTGCTTCAATAGGGAACACAGTACCATCTTTGCTCAGCAGTTCATTCTGCTTATCGAGAATGTTACACTGGCTCCGTTGGATGCAGCTGATATCACCGAAAATGTACTCTGTGGATAGGATGGGATGAGCAAAGCATTTGTTAAAGTGACTTTAACATACCTCCCCTTTGAGTTCAGCAGTTCAATCTGTGCACCAGCACGCTTCAATACAACATTGTTCATCTTGTTTCCGTTTGCCAATTCCATGTAGTGTCTACTTCGGTCAAAAGTCTTGTCAATTCTTGTGAACAGCTCTTCATCAGTGATTATGTGTGATGTGGCTCCACAGTCCACCATCATTCCATTTTTTTTGATGTTGTCAGGTAGAATATTTTTGGCTGACTTTGAATACCATGGTATGGTCCTCCTCATGGTTGTCCTTCTTGTCTGAAGTCTGCTTGGCATTATCTTTCCGTTTCGGTGTTCCTCTGCATGTCTCATCACTGTGGGTTGTACTTCTGTGGTAGTTGCACCATTTTGGTATACTCTTTTGGTGGCAGTCTCTCGCCATGTGCCTGCGCTGTCCGCAGTTGTAGCAGTTTACAGTTGTCATGTCTACTTTCATTACGTTATCTGACTTTGATTTGCTTTCAAACTTTTCTGTCTATTCGTAGCTTCGAAGTCTGATCTTAAACTGAGTGAAGGTTAAGTCTTCGCTGCTCTGTGTTGTGTGAATACCAAAAGGCTTGTAAGACTCTGGGAGTCCCTTCAGAATCATTGCTATTATCAGTCTGTCACTAATAACCTCTTTTGCATTCCTCAGAGACGTTATTGCTTTTTCAGCGCGTAAAACATAGTCTGTCACTGTTTCACTGGGCTCTTTCTGCAGGGAAGTGAGCTCTGTGTAAAGAGCAATGATCCTCGGCTTACCCTGGCTGGCATAATGGTCGTGTAGTATCTGAAGAGCTTTCTTCCCGTCATCGTCGGCATCTCTCATCACCAATGATAGGTTCCTATCATCGAAGACTTGGATTAGTTCCGCATAACATTCTGCATTCTTCTCTACGTCTGGGTCGGCGGTAAATAGGATAGTGTCTTTAAGCCCAGCGTTCTCAAGTAGGCCAGGAACTTTACCTCCCAAAGTTCGTAACTGTTCTCGTTTCCGGTGAAGACTAGTTTGTCCCATCGTCCTCCCGTGCAGTGCCTGGGCCCATAACCTGTTGCGCATTCATCTCCAGTACTCATATTTGTTGTGTTTTCCTCTTCGATACTTATATTTACAAGGAACCACATGTCTTTTCTTCTGATAAAAATGTTAGTTTATTGTTATCTCATAGGCCCCACAACTTCTTCTTCTTCTTCTTCAGAACCATTTCACACACAGAACTATTGCTTATCACCCCTATTGGATAACAGCAGAACAACATGCACAAACATAATGACAAACAAAGTGACTGGATACATAACTTCCAGCTGTGCCTCTTTTTTAAGCAAATAAGGCAGCATGAACACAAAACACAACAAATTCATAAGGACAAGTTAATATGAGAACATATTCTAACATAAATGGATGAAGTTTACATTGATCTATACAGACAGAATATGTTGTTTATGTATGTGCATGTGTGTAGGTTTGTGTGTGTGTGTGGGGGTGGGGGGGTGGGGGGTATGTGTGTCTGAATGCAAAATTGTAGGAGGAGCAGGAAAAAAGGTTGATAAATGGAAGGATACTTACTACTGCTTGGGATTAAATCTCTGTTTGGTATAAACAGTTTGTATCCATAATGTTTCTCTAGAACTTCCGGCAAAATCTCCAGAGCAAAGATTTCCTCATCACTGCTTGGCCTGCTGGGAGAACAAAATTTTTTTTGTTGACAGTATGTTTTATCGATGAGTTTGTCAAAGCACAATTTCGATGTTTTGTTTTTTTTGTAAATACAGAAATAATGTTTACTAAATGTTAGGGCTCAAATCTTTGCTAACAAAATATATTTTATGTCATTAAACAACTTGTCAGGTTCTTGTCTTGTGAGCATTCACATTCCCCAGGAACCCCCCCCCCTCCCCCCGCCCGCTATTTGCATTCCGGCAACGATTGGTTTACAAATTAAAGCCTGAATAGAGCATGGTGGCAGCACTTACATGGTGTTATGCCTGTTTGCAAAAACATAGCTTAAGCCTAAACCATGCGTGTAGCTTCTGTGGTTCTGATTAGCTTTTTAATGCAGGTGCGCGATTCTTTGTGACAATCAGTGCAAGGAAGAGGAGTAGACACATTCTGGTGAGTGGAAGCCTCAGTAAAACGGTCAAACTATTTACAGCCTAGAAGCATACTTATGAGGTAAACACAGCAGTATATTTGAGGTGGTTTTTGTGTGCAATCAGGGCTATAATTAGCACATACAGTGTGCTTGTTTAGTTTCCTTTGTAAGCCTCTCTGTTCAGAACTGAATCAAGTTTACCTAATGCTGTTTTGAGACTTTAGATTATACATTTAGTCTTTCTAAATTATGAATTAGATAAAAGTGTAATATTTTGTAATCTTTGAATGAATTGTGCAAGTTAAATATTACTTTCATTTTATTGATCCTTAAATTACATACATACAATTTATAGTTGTTATTTCTGAGTGAAAAGCATGTTCTATTTTGTATAGGCTTCGCCTTTTAAGTCTATCGCTTTTGGGTTTATCACTTCACGCGCAGCGCAGCACTGAAAACTTTAGTCCACGCCCACCTGCTGTGTGGGCCTCACCCCCGGTCCGTATAAATTACAGTGAGACCGGGTAATCCCATTTTTTCTTCAGCAAGCAACCAGCACTGTTTTTTCGAGAAGAAGATGTCCAGCACCAGCACCATCCGCCTGTGCCCGTCCTGCCAGACCGGCTACATTTTGAGCTTTGACCGGCATGCCATCTGTGAAGGATGCCTGGGTCCCTGCCACGCCAATCTCACCTCCTCCTGCCGTCCCTGTAACCTCCTCCCTCATGAGGAGAAGCAGAGACGAGCAGCCTTGTTCAAAGCTAACATCGAGGAGCGTTTTCCGTGGCAGGGGATTGTTCGCTGCACAATGCCATCGCCTTTTTTGACGCAGAGTCACGGAGCGAATTGGATGATTCCTCCAGAAAAGATGATGTCAGCAGCAGCCCCGCTGCTCATTCCCTCCTGGAGAGTGTAGGGTTGGAACAGGGGGTGCTGAACAGATGCTCAACCCCCCCCCCCCCCCCCCCCCGGGCCTTTCCGCATCGGCGAACACACTGCTCCCAGCCGTCGGTGCCCTCCTCTCTGAGCTGCCCAGCATAATCCAAGAGGCAGCTGACACAAAGGGACTTTCCATCCCTCTCCTCCCCCCGCCCAGATCAGATGATTTAGCAGGAAGGTTTGGTTCCACCCCGGCTCGCCACAGTGACCCCATCTGGCCTCGTTTCCCAGCAGTGACGTCTTACTGGAACGAGGCTGCAGCTAGACCTGGTAAGCTGAAGGCACCAGTCTCCACCTTTGCTCCCTTCACCAGAGTGGAGGGGTTTACTGAGCGGAGCTTTCCCTCGATCCCCCCACTGGAGCCAAGCCTGGCGGAAGCACTTGGAGCAAAAGTTTCCAGGTTGGAACAACGTCCTGTCCCTCCAAGGAGACACAACTAAATGGTGACGTCGCTCTCCAACCGAGCCCACCAGTGTGCTTTCCAGGCCGCCGCAGCGAACCACAATGTCACCCTGCTGGCTTACAGCATTTCCAAGAGGCTGAAGGACACAGACCTTCCTGAGGAGATGAAGAGCTCACTCTGCAATGCGTCTGACATCATCCTGAACTTGTGTGCCTCCTCTGCGGTCTGCTTTTCTCGCATCACCGCCTGGATGACGATGATTCAGATGTCTACCTGGCTCCGATTCTCCCCATCCTTGCCGGAGAGGCTGCAGAAGGACCTGCTTGAGGGCCCCATCACGACGCGATGTTTGGGATCAATTTCAAGGCCATGCTTAAGAAGTCAAAGAAGGCAGAGGAGGTGTCGGAAACCGTGCGCAACCTGATGAAGCTGCAGCCCTCCTACCCCCCCCCCCCATCCCGCATGCTGGAGGTATCGCCGTGGCCAGTGGCAGCAGCAGAGACGTTCCACAGCTGCAGCAGCGACCTCTCGCCCCGCTTCTCTGCCGGCCCCTCCCACCAGAGAACAGCCCTTCGCATCACACCAACCAGTGACTCAGCGCTTTCCCAGAGACCATCAACAAGCGCCGCCCTGGAACAACCAGCCGCAGGGCCCACAGAGGAGGCAACACAAAAAACGATTCTTTACGGGGGATGTGTGTTTTCACAATGATGACCTGAGTTTTAAAATAAAACGAAAACATCATTCAGAGAGTAAAGTGTCTTCTGATTCCAGCCTGACTGTCAGACTGAATAATCTCACAGCAGCTTCTCTTCACACATTCCCCACACAAAACGAGCCGGTAACCTCAAAACAGGTTTTTAAAAGTCATTGCAGCTCAAGAAATCACACAAAATTCTCGCTTGACAGATCAGCTAGAAACGATCTTTTTCAGCAGACCGAGCCCAGAAAAAACCCTCGCTCTCAACCCAGGTTGTTTTTTTGACATTTCTGACTGCAGCGGGAGCAAACGTGTTTCTCCACGACAACTGCAGTCTCCAACCAAACGGCATCGCATTTCTAAAAGCGCTCACGCCTTTCCTCAGTGCGCATCAGCTCACATCAACTCTAACATGAGCCTGCAGCCTGAGCGCATCACAGAGGCGTTTCCAGGGCCCTTTCTGCGAGCCCCCCCGGTCACTTGAGGAGTATCTCCGGAGTGGGTGACGGCGGTGGGGGCTTTAACTTGGCTGATGTCCATAAAAGACATGACACAACACAAAAACATGTGCCCGCTCCCGGAGCGTTACGCAGAGTGGCATCGAGTGTGTTCTCTGGACAGATGGATGTATCGTCTGATCAGCAAGGGTTACACGCTGTAGTTCGCAGCTCAACCCTACTGTTCAGAGGAATTATAGAAACAGTTCTGTCATCTCCAAAACAGATCTCGTATCTCCACTCAGAAGTTCAGGAACTTCTGATAAAAAAAATGTAATTTCCAAGGTTCCCAGCAGAAAGGAAAACACAGGGTTTTACTCATGTTACTTCCTGGTCCTGAAAAAGACCGGAGGAATGAGACCCATCCTCGACTTGTCCCTGTTCAACAAATCAATCATGGAGAGACAATTCCACATGCTGACAACCAAACAGCTGTTGGACAACATTCACCCGAACGATTGGTTTACCTCCATAGATTAAAAAGACGCTCATTTTCACATACTAGTCATTCCAAAACATAGAAAATTCCTGCACTTTTCTTCCCAGGGGACCCAGTACCAATACAACTGGCTCCCGTTCAGTTATTCCCTTGCCCCACAAACGTTTTCAAAATGCGTGGAGACGGCTCTGCAGCCATTACACAGAGCAGGAATGAGAATTCTTTTTTTATCTGGACGATCTGCTGCTGTTAACTCTGTAGTATGCTAAGCCTAGGTTAGCTTCAGTTAGCTTCGAGCTCCACTACAGTCAATTTTTAATAACGGGTTCTCACTTTTTCGAGCTACTTGACAGATATGTGACAGAGGTACTGTGTTATAGATGGTTTAATCAGTGACATGAGACGTTACTTTTCTTTGACCCATCAAAATGAATGTGGTCATTTATTAACAGAATCAAAATTTAACATCAAAACATTGTACACTTCATTATACTATCGGCTCTGATTAATAAAACTTGGCACGTTTTACTTAATAAAAACAACAGACATTTCTGAAGATATCTGGATTAATTACTGGCAAGATAGAAGTTTAAAGATGGGAAATGAAGGAGTTTAAATGGAGAGAAAATGATGGATGAGGAAAGTGTTGACGAGGAATGGCACCCTTCATCCGACCACAGCTCAGCCCCGGTACACTAGGTAGTGAAGCGACTCGTTACCTTTGCAGAAGATAGGTCAGCTCCGGTACGGAGTTCCATTTCAACGCTACCTTTCAGCGTCTCCTTAGGATGGCTGAGAATCGTCCGAAGTAGTGACGGTACTCCGTTCAACAACACGCTCACCTCCCGGGTGAACTCACAGCGAGCTGTGAGTCTGTCAGAGGTTCCACTCAGATGTGGAAGGCTCCATAATCCCAACTCGTCTCAGAAGACTGAGTCTGAGAAAAATTCAGAAGAACTCCTAGGAACTCCAGCCGAACTCCATCAGAACCAGAAGAAGTCACGGAACCAACTCAACTAACTCACTAACTAGGAAGTGTCGACTTTTAAAGAGTTCTGCTTCTGGTCACTTTTAGGAAGTCCTGATTGGTTGAAGGAACCAAAAGGGGTGTGGTTTTAGTGACGTCAGAGGGTCATTACAAGTCAAGAAAACATCAGAAATGTTTAGGAACGGTTAGTTACAGACGAGAAAATATTTTGGAGAAATGACAGACTTACAGGTGCCAGTTTTCTTGTTTCTGTCTGAGAGGTTTAAAAACACGACAGTTCGTTCCAATAAACTTGTTTTTGACTGTCTCTGACTTTTGACCGACATCACTCCTTCTCATTTCAGACAGAAGATCAAAAATGCATAATTACTTTGTAAAATAGACATTTAACTTGATTTCTACTTTGAATGAGGATTAAAAAATCATTAATACTGTTTCACAGTTGATTTAAAATGAGTGGTTCACTTCAACATTTAAAAATGGTATGAACTAAACACACTTTTGATTATCAAGACATTGTAAAATAGTAATGATGATATAAAAGAGAGTTTTCTTTCAATTGATTAGTTCAGGATACAATTAGAGAGTCTCTGGATGAGCTAATTTGTATTTCTGGATTCA